AGATTAGTTCTGCAGTGGCCTGTCATCTCTAACCCCTACTACCCCACCGATTTTTTCTAACTTACCTTTACAAAGTGGACTCTTTTTGAACCAAACCCCATTCTTATCATCTTGACATTTCCAATAAGCATATCCAGTCAACTGGTACCTAGAGAGAGAGAATATATTTTCTCTTCCCAATATCAAATCTCTGAAACCTAGCCTTCTCAAACCACAAATACAGAGCCACTTCTAAATAAGAACTTCGGCAGAGAGAAATTAAAGCCTTCAGCCCTCCAAGTAAGAAAACTACTTTAAACTTAAAATCGCTCACAGCAAAGCCATGTCCATGTCAAAAAGGACTGAGACGTCAGAGTTGCTGGTTAGATTTTGAAACCTCACATTCTCAGTTAGCGTGAAGATGAGGAACCACTAAAGGGAGTCATCAAGACAAGCTGAGGGTAGAATTAATGCACAAAGCAAGATGAAGACCCTTTCTCAGGATGGATCATCTTGTACTCACCCATCTTGGCAGGATGTATTAACTGGTACCACAGATGCATCAACTGGAAGCTCTCGAAGATCTTCTTTCAAAGGCTGGCATGGTGCTTCTAGAGGAGCGAAGTTGGAGTTACTTATACATGCCTGATATCAAAGACAAAGACAACTCTCGAACTGAAAGTACCTTCACACCGAGGGGCAGAAGGACTCCAATTTCCTGAAGGCATACAGTGAATGGATCTGTTTCCCACAAGCAAGTAGCCAGAGTCACAGGTGTAGTCTACAGTCATCCCAGGGGTAAAGAAGACCCTGTTTCCACCTGTATGCTGACCATGGTAGAGCCCAGGAGGTGGCTGACAGCTTGAAGATAAAACTTCCCACAGAAATACCAACAAAAACAGAATTTATATTCAAGAACTTCAAGTATACAATGTTTGCCAATAGACAGTGTGAAACTTTTAAGCCAATGATCATCAAGTTCTTATTCATTATTGAATGCTTTCTGTGCCTTGGAAGGAACCTGGCACCTTCAAAAAGATCCTCTCAATTATTTACCCTGAATATACCCCAGATCCAAAGGGGC